CATAAAATTTAACTCTGGGTATAAGCCTTTTAAGTTACAATAATCACAATGTTCACTATCTAAAACTGAGCACATAAATACACATCTACCAACTGTACATAAAATACTAGTTAAAGAATATAATTGCAATTGCCCACATTATAAACAAAAATTAACTTCTTAATTCCTAATCCTGCTACTCTTTGCACTGGAACTATTTCTGTGTTTCTTTATTTTAATTTGGTCTTTGACATCTATTTCCTTGATTGTAATAAAGGAGGAGTGAAAAGAAACCAACCATTCAACACCTGTTGAAGTCTCACCTACAACAAGTATACACATTGTACAAATATGTAATAAAATAGAAAGTGAAATGTTCATACAAAAAATAAATAAATGGGGCAATAGGCCAATTGCCAATAAATTAACTTAAATGGCATTTCTAGTTTTAAATTTGTGCTTCAATAGGATTCCTGCTTGCTATCATCATGAGATAAACATAAGTAATAGTATTGTGAGGTCAAGAGATATAACTCCAGACTTCTTTGCACCCGCTGACAATTGTGACCTATATTTCCTCATATTAGCCATCTACCGACTTCATTCGAACATACACAAAATAACTTTTGCAAGGACTGTAATCACAACTCACATTTTCATGTATGCTTCAAGGGTAGGAACAAACTTGAGGGCCAAATTGTAGGTTTATGTAACTTGACAAATCATATTAATGAATGGCAAGCTGATGCAAATGCACCTCCACATCCTAGAACTTTAATCAGAATGAACTTTACCCGTCAAACTTGATATAAAAGTGACATCATGTGTGGTGAAACAAGTCATCAAGACCCCAAGTATGGCATGGTGGCCTTTACTAAACACAGCACAATTAAATACACACTGAAAGAAGGGGAGGGGATGAGAGGCCTAACTCTTAGTCACCACCCGAGTACCCAAAACTACTAGAGGGTCAAAACTTGGCAGCCAACGTAACTTGACAACCACTAACACTCAACAACCAACGAACATACATTGCTGGCACACAAGGTAGCTCCCAAAGGCAACCAAACACTGCTCCAGAGTGGTTGCTTAGAATAGCAATTAAATGGATTTTATTTACCTGTTGTAGCAACTAATAATTTGGCCAGTACACTTAATACATATTATACAGAGCTGGTGACATGCAAGACTGGAAGAAAACCAGGCTTGTATCATGAAAATAATATCTTATTCATAAAGTATCTAAAAATATTATTCTAATTACACAGAAGACTATATTTTTTCTTGTATTTCCAGATTCACTGCATAGCCTCTACTCTACATGTAAATAAATATTTGCATTAATCTCTACTTCGGCTACTACACAGCACATATGTACACATGTTTATCCCTGCCAAATCATACCCATGAGAAAATACAGAAAGGGCCTTTCACACCAGTGACTAAAGGACCATTTTAGTACTGACCAAAATGACCCTTAAGATTCACAATACCAAACAATCACTGCATTGTTAAATAATCTTTATGCAAGGCTACAATATTAATTTAAAAGGTAAATAAATAAACCAAAGAAAGTACAAGACTTTGGCAATTCACAGAAACAAGAGCCTGTTGGTTATTATTTTCTCTTGTCAATACACATTTCTTTGTTGTGTCCTCTGTGCTTCTTCATCTGATGGACACCTAAACTCTTGTACTGCTCATTTCACTACAAATATATACAGGAGTGTACTGTGTAAATAATAATAATAAAAAAAAAAAAAAAAAAATTATATATATATTAATACATATATAAATACACCAGTATTTATATAGTGGTCTTATAATACTTTTGAAGCATGAAATCATTAGTTTAAATTTATTTCCACATTATATAAAGAAAATATCAAAGCTGTAATGAAAATGAATAAATTGCTGATGGGGCTATGATTGGACAGTGATGGAAAAAAAATTCGGGGCCCGAATTCAGTGAAACGACTAGTGTCCCAGGCTAGTCATAGAGAAGTTTATTAACCTGGCTGCTGCTTTCTACCTTTGCACGGTTTCTTGATGAATTCGGCCCAGGAATTCAAAGTAAGGCAGGTGGTGGTTTTGGGCTCGGTCGTGACATGCTCATATATAAGCTACTACCTCCATTAGCCATATCTGCATCTTATACTTGTGATAGGTTCAGGTATATTCACAATATAAAATGCCATCAAAATGAGGTATACTTGCATAATGCCTACACCAAAATATGCCATATATCCCATTTTTCAATTTATGTTGTAAAGAATAGGTAAGGCTATGTATATATTTTCTAAGAAGTACTGTATATTCACAATAAATAATGTAGGTATAATAAACAAAATATGTCATTATTTCCCAAGATAAAGACAGCTGATTTCATGTATACTGAAATAAATTTTTTATTTTGAGTGCAAAGGCAAGAATTGAGGTTTTATTCTAGCAATTGTAAAAAAATGAATGAATTTGTATCATTTCGTTTTTAAATGAAAGGCAATGTGAAATATTTATATTTGAAAACCAAAGAAAAGAATTATGAATAGCTGAAACTTAATTTTGTCGACATGTAAAACAACTGAAAATATTTTTAAGATACTGTATAACAAAATGCTTTGAATAAATGTTCCCGAACACCCAACTTTATTATTACTAGGGAACACCTGTTGAAATGTTGTTCGGTACATTGCGGTGGCGAGCACAGAGCTCTTCACGCTGGCTTCTTACTCATGCTTCACAAATCAAGAAAAATCCCCATTTCATGAAAATACAGGTAAGCAAAGGTTTGATTTCAGATATTTATCAATTATTGCTGGTGGCCATATTTTGACTTTAGTCTCGGGACAAAATGTACTGTATACAAATCCATTGCAATATTTTCTTAAACCATGTCATGTATTTTTTTGAGCCACTTGAAAACCATCTAAACATTCCAGAAATTATTATTATAGCTGGTTTACTGCTAAGTATTGAATTCTAAAGCATTACCAAAGGTGAAATTAAAAAAAATTGCCAAAAGGAAGGAGTTTAATTTTGGCACCTTTGACAATATTAAGTCTGCAACACTTTAACATTTGACGGGACAGTGTTGAAGAGACATACAAGTATGACGGGCGTACCGACACAGGAACCTGTTAGGGTAAAACGGCTATATGGAGCTGTAAGCATGCCTCTCCTTCCAGCACACTTTGACAGATACTACATAAATGTTACTCATAGCCAAGGCATTACTGGCAATCAGTAGGACTTCATACAAATATGAACAATTTCCAATAAAAGTTAATTAAATGTTATTACTTGAAAACTCCAACTTAAGACTGCTGTTCACAAAATAACATTTAAACTTACTTCATGACTCGGATGAGCTACTTCATGACACAGATGAGCTACAACTATGTGTCATACAGGAAATCAGCTGCTTTACCCAATGTCTAACATTAACATATTTATCACTGCCATGTAATTAAGGTCATCATTTTCCATAGTAAAAAGTAACTGAAAGAATATATTTAGTAGAGTGAATATAAATACAGTACTGTATACTGCTCGTCACACAACTAGCAAGACAGCTCTGTCTAAGGCAAATAAAAGCATCAATACAAAGTATATTTTGTGATTTTTCTTGTAATTTTCTCCCTGGTGTTGACCTTGCACTATGGTATACACTACAATAACAAGACAGAATTAAACAAAAATAAAAAGTATTGTTTCAAACACTATGCACAGTAGTGTTTACAGGACAACATTCTGAATATCAGCAATTGAATTATTTTAGATTTGATACTTGCGAGGTACTTTGCAAGTCAATGACCCATCAACTTTAAAAGAAGCCATTTTCACCTTTGAAGTACACCTCAAATTCTGTACTGGCTTCCGGACGACGAACGTTTCTTGATCACATGCGCAGACAACGACGTCGTGCATCCTTAGACTCTTATTACCTTTCACTGAGGTATCAGCAAAGGCCACTTATCAACCACCATTTATTGACCTTCAACCTTGCAGCCATGCTCCAATGTTGATCCTTTTTTGTCTCATTTTGCCAAACATGGTTATCAAATTGATAGGAAGGTCATTGGAATCAGCGTGATGGGAAGGGTTTCAGTACTCTGTAGTTACACACTCACTAGCTTTCATGCTCACCATTTATATACATTGAACAACTTCTCTGTACATGTACTGCTATTAGCATTTACATCTTACATACTCAATGGAAGGTTTATGTAAAATGCTACATCACTTATGCAGTTCTTTAATGCCATATATAAAAAACTCTACCTGACCTTACTATTAAAAACTGTACTTGAACATCTGGCAGAAGCATGTATAGCTGCTCTACACAGGAGGAAAAAAGAAAATAAACAAAAAAAAAAAAAAGAGAGAAAAAGACAGAGGTTCATGACAATTGGTAAAAAAGGTCTATATATCTACACTGCCGTAAACATTTCAGACGAGTAACTATTCCACTCATTTTTTTAATTTGTTCATGCACTCACAGTCAAACGCTTGAGTCTTTGGAATAGGAGAGAGAGAGAGCGAGCCCAGCGTCAGACTCCCACAGGCCCCAAACAGCAGCACATATAAACGACAAAAGCTTTCTGCAACTTTGTCTGTAGTCTTTGGGTAGCCAGTGTGGCCCTTGGCTACAACCACTATGGCTTCTGTGGGTCCTGTAATATCACTAAGTGTCACACTGTAGTTACTACAGCCAAACTTCCAGCACAGATGCACACCCACTGTGTAGTAAATCTTGCCAATTAAACACATTGTACTACACAGGATTAACTGTAATATTTTTCTTGACTTTGGTTTATGTAATATACACATATAAATACAGTATTTACATATATACATATATAAATATGCAGTATACATATATATACTGTACTATATACAACATATACATATCCAATATTTATATGTATACATATACATAATATAGTATATATATAAATTGTATATATATAGAGTATACATATGTATATATATATATATATACATATATATGACTATGTATATATTATACACATAATATATACAGTTGTGTATATATATACACATATATATTATCAACGTATATACAACTGTATATACAGTATATTATATATTCATTGAATGGCAATAAATCTCTTTACATGGACATTCTGCATATATGCTTTCAAACATTTTGAATCGTACAGTAATATACCGTAAAATTCACTTTGCGATGGCGTGCCACTTTAGCTACTTAATGTGCTCAACGTTTCAGTCTGTCTTCAAAATCCCATCGTAATGGGTGGTGGTTACCTTACGTAGGGGGAAAATGCTCATTCCACTTGGTTTCAAAGAAGGAGCGGAGGTTGTGCCCGGCCTTCCCAACAGGAGAGTCATCTTCATTAAACGTTTCACAGTTATTGAACATGAGACGTAAATCCTCGCAGTATTCTTCCCGTGTCTTGTACCTGTTGAGAAAAACTCGAGGTTAACACAACAGTAGTGTCGGGAAGCCTCCAGGGCCCACCCAGAAACTGGATTTTCATCACATTCAATGCTGGCTTTTTTTTTAAATTAGTTTTTGTGAACTATTTTTCCCCCATGTGCACCACAATGCAGAATTTTTAATTAGAGGAGCTGTTAAGAGTTCAAATGTCCTCATCTGAAATGGGTATATGTCCTTGCTACATTGAAACAAACTGGGAAAATGTGCTTTATTATGAGCCAACTTACTGATTATCATCTAGCTTCTTCTTGATAGCAGAGAGGTCCATGGGCTTCTTGATGATCTTCTTGTAGGTTGGGAATTGTCGAGTGTTAACAGGCAAGAGAAATGGCCAGGCATCTTCATGAATTTCTAGCTCCGAGGTAATACTTTTGCATGCCTGCAAGTCCTTCTGTTCCTTCTGCAGGAGGGGGAGGGGGGGGGAAGGGGAAAACGAATTTCAAGATTAAAGAAGTTTTCATTCATTACCGAATCCAGTCATGAGCTTTGTTTCATATAATACGGCTACAATTCTTTACAAAAATTAAGAAAAGCCCATTGGGAACAATAACTGTAAACAGGCACATTTGAGAAAAATAGGATTATGTAATGGCCTTCGAAAATCCATATTTTTCACTAAATAAATATTTTATTGAATAAAGAAACATTTATATTTAATGCTCCTTCCACCTCTCAGCCTAACACACAGCACACTGATGTCCAGAATGTTTGAAATGTACAATGCTGAAACAATATAATCCAAAAAGTTTGCAAAACACTAGTATGGCCTGTGTAGGGGCCTGACACAGTCAAGAATGAAACAGACCCACAGATTGTGAATGCTAATTCTGTCAACCCACTCTCAAACTGCATATAGTAAACTAAGCAAATAAAATGCCGCAAGAGCATTTTCTTTGTGATTTGCCTGTTACTTATTAGTTCCTAAACTACATCCATTACAAAGCTAAAATTTCCCAACACCATTTTTCCAGCTATTGGCTATTGTTTTACAAAAGCCGCTTCTTCCTAAGGACAAACATTCGGTGGTGACAATACAATTCCCCACAAGGTTACCGACCAGCACACTGCAGTGACAGTTCTCCAATTTGCTGTATTCACGTACCCTCCCTCACTGGCCTGGAGAACACACAACACATTAATACACAAGCCACACATATGACAAGAAGGAAGGCGACACCTTGATAATGATCCAGGACAGACCAAAACATCTTTATTATCCTCCTTTTCATGTGTGTGGGTTGGGTATGAATTTTCAACACTGCTATTGTAACATTCTCTTCACATTACACTTTAGTGTCTTACCTTTTTATTGACACGGTCCTTTTTAGACGTGTTGGCTGGAGAAACAACACCCTGGGAGTCGTCAAGGACATCTGTCACTTCAATCGATACATTTGTGGCCGCAGATGCAGAGGAGTTGTTACTCTCGCTCACCTTCTTTGCTCTTCCTCTTCTTCCTCTCGGACTTTTACTTGTACAAGCTGGACAGACCCATTTGTTTCGTGGTACCTGATAGTTCATGAAATATATCAACCTAATTAGGTGATGAGTAAACTATGTTTATTCGTATATCTACAGCATTCGATGTCACAGTGACAAATGTATATTACAGCAGTGACTATTAGTATTGCTATATTGATAAAATTTTATAAGTAGAAAGGTTTATACTATACTGGTATGTTAGGGATATGCATACAACACAAACTTTAAGTCATTGAAAGCTATAGTATCTGAGAGGTCTCTGAATATGAAGACATTTACCAACGTCAGGTTTCAAGCCATTATGTGACAGTGCTGGGAAGACGGTACACCATGAGTGTAACTCTCATCCTGTAACTACACTTAGGTAACTACATACACAACCCACATACACAAAAGTTATAAACAAGGTTTCATTCAGTATACTTCTTCACTATGCACAATTTCCATCACTAACATTATTCCTATTTCACAACTGCCAACCCTCCTCCTGGGCCCGTGGTCGTCGTCCCTTCACTTTCTAGTGTGTGGTTTGGTCAACACAACACACACTATACTTCTATTATCACAAATTAAGAAATTTTACAAAAATCACTCAATACAGACCTTGGCTAGGTTAGGAGTTATGCAGGCAGTGTGATAAGCCCGGGGACACACGGAGCAGTGAACTAGGGTGCGGCCCTCAGTGCCTCCGCACACCAAACAATGCCGCTGTGAGCTGTCACTAAACTTGTTCACACATTCATAGCAGTACCTGGAAAAGAATGGTACACCACTGTATTGAATTAGTAAATAAAATTTAAGATCAGTACATGTGATTAAACTTGGAAATCCATTAAATAGTCACATAATGGGAGTTTTGGAGAAAACCCACTTGAAGAAAGATGAAGCGATATGCAGGTGCTGGAGGCACTGTAACGTTACACACAATGTAGATAGAACCAATATGAATTATTGAAGAACTGCAAGAGCAATGTTCCCGGGTCAAACAAATATATATATATGAAGGAGTTTGGGTGGATAGAAATAGGAGCTGCCTTGTATGGACCAATGTATGGACTAATAAGCCTTCTGCAGTTTCTTTTATTCTCAAGTTGTTATCTTTGCACAATGTACTGATTAGAGTTTACAAGACAGATAATGATACAAAACAGCTACAAATCTCAAGTGTGAACTCACCAGTCACCATCAGGAATGTTATTCATGGGTGGCTTGAAGCAGTGCGTGTGATAGCCCTTGTCGCACCCATCACACAGAAGCAACTTCTCCTCGTGGTCGCCGCTATGGCAAAATTGGCAATACTGTCCAACCAAAAGAAGAAAAAACAAATTTTTAAATGATTGCTAAGTTCAAGAGAGGTATTGCTAATTATAAACAATAAGGATAAAAATGCTATCAAGACATATGATTATTAGCATAATGGACACCTTTCACATTTTCAGCTTGGATAAGATTAGTTATTACACAATGTTCCAAGGAATGTATGTTCTCTAAACCATGTACTTGAGGCCCAACATTACACCATACTGTACATATACACATACGATAATTAGTATTAGAGGCAGTAAAACCATACAAATGAACTTTAACAGCTGTACTCGATATGTCACAGGTCTAAATAAAGGAGATCACACAAATTGTTACCCTAAAAATTAAAATCATTCACACAAAATTGTATACAGCAGTATGTGTATAACTGAACCATAGATTAGCATCGGAATATTAATTCGACTCAAAGATGCGGATCATCAGTGGCACCTGTGCCCGTTATCAGTGTCTAGTTAATTTGTGCATAGTCTAATCACTCCTCTGACAGTATCTGGATTAACTTGGAGTTGAACTAACTTGGTGAGTTAATGTCTCCAACTCACTTGGATCTGAGACATTAACACCTCATATTCAATAAGAGGTGTTAATGTTCTGCATTAATGTCCTGCTCCTATTCAATATTCAGTTCTAAAATATTAATCTACATTCAAATATAAAAGGAATTAAAAGTCTACATCGTGTAAAAAGCTGTAAATACTTACAGCTTTCATAATACTTTTATCCCAGGCAACTGCAGTTTCTAACATATATGTACACATTGCAAGCTGCGCAGCAGTTTCCGACTTGCTCACTGCTTCTCGCCAAATTTGCAGACCCTTGGGCGATTCCTTGGTCTCTTGTGCTCCTTCATTCTTTGGGTTAGGTGGCACCCCTGCAAGTCAAGATAAATAAATGTAAGTGGTTTCCTACATGTAATATTGAAAAGAAAAGTAATTTTGTCAAAATACATTTGTGTAACAAAAGCTTTACACACAACTGAAGCAAGGTCTTTCTTTTAAAAATATGTCATTACAACAACTGCCTGCGTGTGTGTCACTAGTTGTTCAGCTCCTAATCAAAGCCAAAAGAACAAAACTTCAAGGAATATAATTTATACAGGTATTTATACATTTCCTTTGCCTACAGTAGTAATTTTAATACTGTAATAGAAAGTTTTTATTATTAATGGTAGGAGATGAACATATGTACATATGGTATATACATACATTATCTTTACATTGATTCATAAAGGGAAAAAGGCATAGGCGCAGATAAAATACAGAGCCTTGAGCGAAAAATGCTAAATTAAAGTGGCATCTTGTTAGCTCCACTAACTTTAAGCATGGACTTGTCAGGACAGTGACAATCTACCAAGCTCCAAGTGACTTTAGCCCCCCAGGGAGACTAGCATCTTTGGAACTGGTCTTGACCCCAGGCAGTGGATCACTGGAAGAAGTTTGAGTGTAGATAGATCACCGAGCTTTAGTTATTGTAGGAGAGAGATGTGCCTAAGTAGCAGCCAAACTGCTGCCAATTCCTGAACACAAAACCCCAACCTTCATCCAACACATTAGTGAAGATCTCAAGCAATAGGATTAGAAGTCATCACATACCTTATGCAAATGAACTATCACGCCCAACAGGACAATATCATAGTCCCTAAGTTTGTGAAATGCCAACAAGAGCAGAAAGAGATACCTTGCCTAAAGCAAAACCAGCTAAAGAGGATGTGCCATTTAGGTTAACCCGATGCAGCAGTTACTTGAAATTGTGATGCTGAAAAATCGCCACCTGCCGAGTACCATTTGACATAAGTTCAGTCTGAACCATGCTGACACCTACAAGGAATGAGGGGTCTACACAGTGTCCTAAATACACTCCCAGATCTCTAGATACTGAGTAGAGCTATTACTCTGGCAAAGTTACAATCTGAAGCAACCCAAGATGCCCAAAACTGAATTCCTGGTCAGCAGACACTGAAAGCAGGTGGCAGTCCAAATTAGTAAATTGTTGACATGAACCACAACACAAATCTTTTAAGACACTTCAGTTTGTTTCCCCAGAATATGATCCGTAATTACTTTACATCAGATCTCCACTTACTGCTTGGTGAGCAGGAGCAAACAGTGAAGGAATGGTACCACTGTCTAATCCAGACCAGGGTTGTAGCCCGGGTCTTCTCGCATGCAAGGTGAGTGCTTCAGGCATTAACCACTACAGACCAGGATGCCATTATTCTACCATTAGCAACTTCATTCAACATTGTAACAAACAGTACTTTAAATGTCTGCATAGACTCAGAAGGGGAATTAGGGGAACTTTTCCATTGTCTTTGCTTTAAAAGATTAATTATGCCACATTTCCAATACACCAAATTCAAAATTGTCTAACCGAGCTTACCTCTGTGGAAATCTGGTCCTTCAGTGGAATTACCATGCTACTGTATAGTTTCCATGTATAGCTAACAATTTGGGATGATGATAAGTACCAGAAATCCTTTAACAATCTATTAAATTTCTAAGCTTACCTAATGGAGGTTTAAGGTATCTTCTCTCAATACCTTCTTCAAGGGCTAGGAGTCTTTCTCTGCCAATATGGATGGGATTAAGGCGGGTGTCTTTATCATCCACTGGTTGAAGACAAGATGCACGAAATTCTCCCACATGCTTCTCTCCACTGTCCCCTAAGCGCCAGCTCTGTGTGCATACACATAATATATGGTAACAACTAAATTGCAAGATCATAAAATGAATGATAACATACTTATTCAGAATGTATTAAAAAAATGGATGAGCATTAGGAGATTTCCCTCGAACAACTAAAATATGGGCAGTTCTATGTCATTTTTTTAAGACAAACCAGAGGACATGAAAACAAAACATTATCTGCTACAAATACCTAGAACTGAATGTAATGATTTACAATTTTTGGAGGAGTCCTGGGGGCTCCCCTGAAGCTATTTCCTGAAATTGGTTCATAATAAAAGGTCACATCAGTCATGGATAGTTCCGCTCGACCTACTAGGGACCCGAGCCAAAACCTGGTTCCCCTCTCACAGGTGCAGAGAGCAGGTGACAATCTGCCACCTCACCAGAAAAAAATTCTCCAGAAAATTAGTGTAGCTTTACATAGATTGTGTTTGGTGAGACCAAACCCAATCAAAGAAGGCCCCCCAACCAAGGGCCCAAACAGAGGACTCGCCAATCCCTGAAAGCCCAAGGCTTTAAGGAATTGCCTCCACTCGCTATTGGTTAAGCCTCCTGGGGGCAAACACCTGAACACACCAGAGAAGGGAAGCTCCGCCTGTGCAAGGGCAGCATTAGCAGACACACAGGGAAGAGAACCCTAAGCACATGTAGCCTGAAATTCCAAGCAAGCCAGGCCCCCACAACAAGCTGATATCAAAACACGCATGTGAATTCTACACTAAAATCAAGAACAGTACACAAAGCAAATAGCCACCATAGGACAACTAAGTCAAAGGATGTCTGGCACTTGGCTTGAAGCTTTGGGGATTGCCTGTAAGATAGCGTGACCGGAAACACTACAAATTGGTGTAGGGACACTAACATCAGGAACAGATCTGAATTGGGGAGCCGGCTGGTAGCGAGGGCCAGGCTGCCTGCTGGGGGTAATTGGTACTACCAAGTTTTGAGCTTGCTCGAGTGAATCCCTTGTTCCGTGTGACTCGTTTGCGGTAATTGTCAAGTGATTTTGAAGCTTTATTTTCTGTGAACTCTCCAGTTGTCTGTAAAGATGCACCAACTTTCTGAAGGCTATTTTTTGGTGAGGTGGCAGACTGTCACCTGTTCTCTGCTCCTCTGTGATGGGCCCAGGTTCTGACTGTGGTACCCGGTAGGCCAAACAGAACTATCCACAACTGATGTCACCTTTGAGTATAAAACAATCTTCTCAGGAGACAGCTTCAGAGAGCCACAAGGGGTTCCTTCCAGAAAGGATGATGTAAATAGCAAAACTTTTCACTAACTTTATAAATTTAAAAAGCTTTGAAAATAGCTTTTTGCTAACCTACATACTCTGCTTATAAAGAACACAAGAGAATTTACCTTCAAAATGGGAATTTCCACAACTGAATATTAAAATGCAAAAAAAGACCTCATACGTATACCAGTCACAGTTTATTAAACTGTTAAGCAGTTACCTTATTCTGCATAGAAGCATTGGTTATCTTCTCTTCCATGGCATACACAGTGTCTAGGATAAGAAAATCAACTTTTAAAGCAATGTCTGGCAGCCAATGGGATGGTTCATCAGCCACAGGAGTGCCGTACTTGTCGTAGAAAACTTTATCTCCATCCTCAGCCTCTGGATCCAGGCTAACGGCTTCCGAGTCAATCTAATGCAAAAAATGTTTTGTTGTTCTTAATTAAATAATTTTGTGAACATTTTTAGTTTTGGGTTAAAATTAATGAGATGAAATATAGACCTATTATAACACTGACAATATAATTAGAATACTGCACACAATATAATGAGATTAAATATTAACTACGATACTCAAACATTTGACCAAACTAGAAGAATGCAGTGAAAACAAAGTCCTTCCTTTTGTATAAGAAAGAAATTTGAAATTAATTTATGATTTGCCTTACAACTGCCTCATTTTCATTTTATTGCTAACTGAGGATACCTTCATTCAACACTAAGACACACTACATTAAGGTGTTTGATACATACTGACAAAACTCTACAAGTTAAAACATGGTATGTTTTACATGTAACAACAGCCCATAGTTTCACACGATCAGTAAACTTTTCTCCACACTTTCAAAGCAGCCTGAACAGTTTACAGTTCTTTTAATTTAGTGACTTAAAAATCAAACAATTTTGTTGAAATCACAAAGACTGGAGAATGGAACAAAACCACTTAACCCCTCACTATAAAAAAAAAATTTAACATTCCTGGTAAGAAATTTGGCTAACTTGCATGAGGGTGGACCCCACATGAATTGGATTACCAAGGAGAGAGTATGCCTTATTAGTTGTTCATGAAACAGGTTCGGCCTAATCAACCTCTTCTGGCATGTACGACACAAATTTGTACCAGTTTTATAAATGACTTTCGAAAGGTAAAATAGCAGAAATGAGTTCCTGAACTACAGTTTATGCAAGTTCATCTTCATTTTAATTTTATCTTGAGTTATGCTGGCAATTATAATTGTTGGAACTAAGTTGGAACTGTTGGAACTGGCAATTATATTTGTTGGAATTAAGTTCCTCTAATTGCCCAGGACACCTTTACAGTGTTTGGTCACGTTTACTACTTCAAGCAAATTGGTGACCCCAGTAAAACATTGAACAAATGTTTCCTAACCCCTGTGTGCTGCACATCACGACCATGGTTATTTTCAGGCCTATCATAAAATTTAAAACTTCCCCCACATACAAGGGGCTCACATTTGCTTCCTTAGGCCTCCAGTAACCATCCCCCATCTTAAAGCTTTAATCAATTTATTAAATATTTGATTACTTGTTCATGTAATATGAATAATCTACACCTTATTTACTACATAAACTATTACATTCACTAAAATTTGTATGTGTAAATTATGTGATATAAATAACTTACTTTTGAGAGGGCACTTTTAACAATTGTGAAATTTTTTTCTATGAAGCGCTTCAACTCTCGTTCTCGTACACCTCTCTCGTTTAACGCAGCAAGCACCTCACGTAGCCGCTCAAGGTCCCCGAGGTGCCACCACCCTGTTTTGTACTCTAGAGAAACATAGAAATTAGGATTATGTACACAATGATCACAAACATTAAGAAAACTAGCATTGAATGTAATGAAATGCAAATTTCTGGGCGAGCTCCGGTGACTCCGTGAAGCTACTAACGCTGACAGTGTACAGTACCACTACTTAGGTTGTATCAGATGCAGTTCTACTGGATTAATGGGGACCAGAGACAGAACCTGGCCCCCTCTAAAGAGGTGCAGAAAGCAGTGACATTTACATAGTTATTTATGTTACCACCGATGAAGCATCCAGAAAGTCTACTTTCAACTCTGTTGAAGGTCTGTCTTGTAGACCTAAGACAAGGTGATCATCTGGAAGGAAAGGCAAAGAATGAACTGGTTCCACTGCACAAGTCGAGGATGAACTAGAGGTCCAGAGAATCCCATTTTGGGACTGGGAAGAGGTAGGAAACCCATCAAAGAGGCATCATAGTTTCAACCATGGCAGAATTCACCCACTCTGAGATGACCTGACACAGGCAGGGAGGAAGGGAGAGGAAGCCTGCCTAGAAAGACCCAAACCCCCCTGCGGGAGGGGGGGGGGACCTGACCAACTCTACTGCTGGTCAACGGAACTACCCAAAAGGCCCACAAATCATGGGACAGTTGGCAAACTGACTGAGCCATAATTACCAGGTCAAAGAGGCAAACCGGGAAATGGCTAGTGCGAGCCACAAGAGGACTGGCCGAGGGTAGTGCATGCAACCTGGCATTTGGCTCCACTGATGCCCTACCCCAACCAACCAAAGGCAATGCACCAGTCCTACCCGACTGCCTCAAAGACCTAGGACAACAGGCCAAAGCACAAATGAAGTCCTTAATGGGCTGACAAGTCACCGACACTGAAGAAACAAACTGGGCAACTACGTCCTCGGGAAAGAGGAGGGGAGAAATGAGAAACGCAGACAGGAGAAGATAGTGAATCAAGAGACTGGGCCAATACAGCCTGTTGACATGCAAGTTGGGTGGTGAAAAACATGGCCACCGCCTCCTGGAGCACAGGAGCATACATCTTAGGGAGGGCAGCCAATGCCACAACAATAGAGGCCAAGATCTCTGCAAGTGCCCCCCCCCCCCATTGAGTGCTCCAACAACCTCAATGAGCCAAAAAGAATGCAGTTAAAGGAGCCCAAGGAAGTGCACAACAGAACCCAGATGGAGATGGGCAAGAAGGTTATCAGCCACCAAAGCTGCTGATAAAAAGGGAACCTGGATGTGGAGCTGCACGAGACCCATGTCCCAAGAGAGTGGGAGCAAACAGGCAGTCATTGAGGCACACAAAAGATGAGCCCTCCAAAACACCTAAACACAGTCAACACCTCACGCAACTCCATCACACGAGTATGACAAAAGCTGCGCCAAGCCCCAAGTGAAAACTAGGGATTGTCCACTTGCCAAGAGGACTCTAGTACCTTGCAATACATCCAATTAGAAGAGCAAACCCAAACTCAAATGAGGGAGGGTCCAGCAGTGAGGAGTAATCAGGTCTCGCAAGAGGTACATAAAAACCTCCCAAGCTGCTGTAGGAGGGACACGGGAGGGCACAAGCCTGTGAAAAGATGGCTCCAGCATGCCCAAAGGCACCCAGAACCAAACCCTATGTGGAGCTGTACCCAAATCAAACTTATACAGAGAAGGGGATACAAAAACTCCTCCCCCAGCAAAAGAAGACACTCCTCAGATGAAACAAAGTACCTGTACCATGAAAAGCCAAAGGGGGCCTAAAGGCCAATATCAAACTTCCCCCAAGCTCCAGGAACCACAGTCGAGGGCCCCTGGGATAGAGCATCATCCTTGCCCAAGAAAAAGGCTTCAAAGTAAAAAGGGGGCTGGTTGAGAGGAAGATCCAGAAGCTTGGATGGGACAACCCCCCCCCCCCACCCCCGGAGCTGGCTGAGCCACATCCCGAGCTAAACCGTGCTCTGACTTCAAAACTCATAAATGCTTTGGGGCCGGAAGCAAAGATGCAGATGGAGCCAAGGTAAAATTTACCAACACCTCCAATTCCAGACCCCTAAATACCAAATGGGCGAGCTTTGGGACATCCAATTGGGCATATAACCTAGAAAATGTAACATGCATAGCGGTCGCTGCCTGGTAAGCCCTAACCTCATCAGGAGAGTAAGAAAAGAGAGCCAAATGGGAGGGAACAAACCCCCACAGAACTCGGGATCAAGGATGTCACAGACCTAACAAGCAGTAGACACAGAAGGAATGAACACTGCAACGTGGCACGGACGATGTGCAACCCTCAAACTTTCACTAAGCAAGAGCAGGTTCAGGAAGAGGGGGGTGGGGAATATCCATGAGACCACAAAGCCTGTAGGTGATTTTCAGGGCCTGAAGGGTAAACCAAGCAGTGGTGGAGGTGGGGGCAAACGTACTTACACCAGTTTGGAGAGACTTTGATTGTTACATAGTTGGGGGAGTTTTAGAGGGTGTGGTCTCTATTGAATCCAGTGGTTTGTTTCGTCTCACTGACCTTCTGTTTGTTTCCCTGTTGGTGACATACATTAACTACATCAATATCACCAATCCCTGCATTTCTTAAAGAGGAAGCCAAATTCTTGCTCTGGTCCCTGGTAGGGTGATAACTCCACAGTTGATGTGACCTAGTAGTGGTATAATGTCAGCAGTAGTAGCTTCAGGAAGTAACATGGGCTTTCCCCCAGAAAAAATGAAGATTTTTTTTAAATTTATAGAAAGTAAGTTGGTGCGAGCATAATGCAAGGCTACAATTACAAAAATAATAATTTCTGACTACAGTAAAAACAAGAAAAAACTCACAAAAGTACACCATCCCCAGAAGCAACAGGAACTGACCACCGCGTAGGTAGCAGATTGCGCAACACCTTGACGCCCTAACTAGCACAATACCAGTCTCTACCCAAGACCAAACAAGGGCCCCAAGCCCCAGCTGACCCCAAGGGCGAGGCAAATGCCGAGCAGCAAGAACTTCTACGGGAATGGTTCCCGAATGCCCCAGGGAAGACAACCCTATCACACAGGGGCAGTTTTCACAGGGCTCTTAGGGAAGGAAGCCCCTAAGTGCATGCAGCCCCAGTACTGATGAGGAACACCTGGCCACCACACAACACAAAAACACAGCAGTGAGCGCCACGAAGGCAAACACCGCCTAGGAAACTGAGGCCAGAGAAGCGTCTGTCCCAGTTGACATTATCTTACAAACTGAAAGGCTTTGCAGCCGGTGCGGTGAGGTCCAGGCCCCCCCCTTACCCTCTTGGGAGGGTAGGGTTGCGCGGACGACTGGCGCGTCAGTAGTGTGTTATGTTTGCTTGTTAGCTTGTTTCCTTGGGATTGTAGGGAGTTCTACCTCTCTGTTCAGTTTTTTGTTGTTAATTTCTTACCATGTGGGATTTGTTTCGTTATGCCTACCTTTCTGGGTGCCTAACCCCAGTTGATGGCAGATAAGGAAAACCCCCAATCACAGGGGGGGGGGGGGGGGGGGGTTCCAGGTTTTCCTCCCTGAAACCTCTCTGAAGGGGCCAGGTTCTGGCACTGATTCTTGGTAGATGTGAACTCCATAGATAATGTCCCGGTCTAATATAACATACATTAGCCCGATAAACTCCAGGGAGCTGTAGGGGCTCCCCCTCAGAAAAGCATGTTTTTACCTGTCACAGGTGTAGCATAAATACTTGTACTCACGAAATGAATGGTATGGTAAACAACACAGCTCAATTCCAATGCAATGTCACACGAAATATTTAAATCAAAATGAAAATAAATAGAAATCTATGAAAATTCAATTTATCAATGCAATCGGAAACATTGAAATGAAACTGTAACATTTAGTATAGTGTGTGTTGCTATTACGTGCAACAGATGGCACTGTTTATATATATATATATATATATATATATATATATATATATATATATATATATAAAAAAAAAAAAAAAAAAAAAAAAAAAAAAAAAAAAAAAAAAAAAAAAAAAAAAAAAAAAAAAAAAAAAAAAAAAAAAAAAAATGTTTTACTTGTCACAGGTGTGGCATCTATATACTGTAGTAGGTACTGTATATAAAAACACGCTCCTATTCGAATGCAACGTTGTCAAAATTTCAATGCAATCGGTAAAAAGCTTTTGAAGATTTCCCTCACATGAAACACACATTAAAAACACGGTTTTTCAAAAAAAGCATGTTTTTCCCCATCACAGAAGTGACAGCTATACAGTATGTATATAAAAACTCACTCGGATGGGAATGGAACATTGTGAAAATTTCAAAGCAATCGGTGAAGATCTTTCGGAAATTAGCGATTTTGAACCAACGAACATTTACATTTTTATTTATACAGATTCCTTCCCAGCAGCTTGAATATGCAATTTGTATATAAGGAAAATTAAACAAACAGCCTAAATTCAGTAAATGTCAAAATCAAAATAAACAAAGTCTGGAAAACACCACACTAAAGTACTGTATGTAAGAAACTTACACTAAACTCACCTTCTGGAATAGGTAGAGCTTCAGCTGTTTGGTGTAATCTCTCTAACAGCTCTTTGTGTGGTAAACTTTGTACACTTCCTGGTGTGTTTGCCGTCACTGGTGTGGATCCAACGTCTGCTGCACAAGTTGATCCTGGCATACTGTTCACCACCCACGGCGTGGTATTAACTGTCCCCGGTGTGCTTAATGATACTGGAGTGTTTGATGATCCTGGAGTGCTCAGCATCCCAGGAGTGCTAGTAGCAAGTGGAGTGTTACACGAGCTTAAAGGAACACTGGAGACTGGGCTGTGTGGTCCACTAAATCTCGAGAATGGTGAAGCTTCTCGTGGCGAGCCCCTGGGGGTGCCCTGTGGGGTCTGCCCACTCGGCAGTGCTTCTAGAGATGATACATCACATGGGATACGTGGCAAGAGACTGAAGCTTAACTTTTCTCGTTGCGCAACGTGTTCAGTCCTGAGATACTGACCAGGTACTAAGCCAAGGCCTGTGGCTAGGAGGTTTTGATCGATAACTTCATTACTGTTCGAGTTATTCCCTTCTTTTAAACCATTAATCATATATGGATTAAGTCCAGCATTTATTAAAGATGAATACACTTCACTGTTTGTGTTTTCATTCACTTTAGAATCATTTAATCCATTCTGACTATCAGAATTTTTCATTTCCTCTTTCTTTTTCATTTCTTCCTTAAATTTTTCTGTTCGTTTTGGAATATCAGGCACTTCATTATTGTCCTCAACCTTCACTTTCCCTCTAAGGGGCTTCACATCGACACTTTCCTTATCTCCACTTTCACCGTAACTTTCATCACTCTTTTCTATTTTCACTTCAGCTTCAGTCTTTACAACATCCATTTTTTCCTCCTTCACTATAGGCTCCACTTTTATTTCCATTTTAGTCTTTCTTTCCTCTTTGATTTGTTTCTCTTTCTTTGCTTTTATCTCTTGAAACTTGATCTTTACTTCATCTGCAGAATACCCAACTTTAGCACTTGAAGGAGGCACGATAATGGGGAAGTGGTCCCGACCCGTGTAGTCGCACGATGTGAGGCCCTCTAAGAACGGACCTCCAGCATGTGGGAGCACCCACATTGTCCGCTGTTGGAGAAATTATACAATTATACAATGCATTACGAGAAAGAAGTTACGTATAAATGATATGCATAATAAGTTGGAAGTTGTGTTTTTTCTATCTAAATACTTGGATTGGCATATACGTACATATTTATGTACTGTATGAACGTGCTTACCTATCAGTTACTGGAGGCCTGGTCGACGACCGGGCCGTGGGGACGTTAAGCCCCCGGAAACACCTCAAGGTAACCTCAAGGAGGTGCGAGATCTAGCTACTTATGCCCCGAATTCTTGCTATTTATATTTAGCATGGTAATTACCTCTTTCAACATTAAAATTTTCAGTAAATTTGTATTAAAGTTGTGGATGGAATGGCTAATGTGGATGAATAATTTGTTTTCCCGTCATTAGGGAACAATATTAGAAGGGAACTATTAGGGAATAATATTAGGGAATATTAGGGAATATTAGGGAACAATATTAGAAGGAAAAACAGTTTGAATGTTTGTTTTTGCGCACGGGGATGTTGTTAGCAATTATTAGCTGTGCAGCCCAGGGGTTGTTAATTCTGCTTGAGGTTTGGACAATGTAAACACAGTGTTCTCCTGGGTGCCCCTCCCCTTCTAGTAGTAGTAGTAGGCCAAGAGGCCGGCAGCACCGCATTATTACCTCTTCATTAAAGTCAATCAGAAATTCACATCCGTATATTATAATTATCTAAACCTTTCCTTTCCCTTTCATAATTTTGTGAACTATTATTATTATCATAGTATATAAATGATGATATTAACATTTTGGAATAATATATACATTAGTACATTAATAATGGTATCAACATTTTTTAATCTGTTACGATTTTGTTTAAAATGAGATGGTATTCCTATGTGAAGCTCCTGTCCATGACAATTTTTTTTTTTTTTTTTGGCAGGGATATTCCTGTGTGGCCCCTAAGCCTCTGGCTGGCCCACTAGAAATTCAGTTGACTTTCTGAGGTGATGTAATGCTGCACACATTTATTTGGATTTATTACTCTCAAACTGAAAATACAATTGCAGTGTACAGAGAATCGTTGTGCATATCTTTTCAATTTTTTTTTTTTTTTATTCATTTATATATACAAGAGTTCTTACATTCTAGTGCAGCCACTAGTATGCGTAACATTTCAGGCAAGTACTTAATTCTATGTTCCCTGGAATACGACCTCACAAAAAATCGTTTAACACCCAGGTACCCATTTTACTGTTGAGTTAAACAGAGGCTACAGTTAAGGATTTGCACCCAGTAAATCCTCCCCGGCCAGGATACGAACCCAGGACAAAGAGCTTGCGAAACGCCAGGTGAGCGTCTTAACCACTACACCACTGGGACTGCCAAATTAATAGAATACTTATGGATATGTAGATTTATCAAATATACAGAATTATTACATTATCTTCAGAGCAATCCTGGATTTTACAGCAAGGTTGCTGATCATTTTGTTTGCAAGGAAAGATGAACTCCACTGAAATATGTTGACATTAAGTTAAAATTATTTAAATATTCAAAGGCTCTTAACTTTAACACTTGAAATGAAGAATATTAAAATTTCACAATCTCTAACTTAAGAGGTTAAAAATATGTTCCAGGACATATGCAATGTTATCAACATTTGATTAACATTTATTTACACTAAAATTTTCCCTGAAAATTATTTAAACATGCAAAACAAATCAACACCATTTAAAAAGAGGACAATGTCAGAGTTCTCAACTTGCCTGATATCTATCCTGACCACAGTTGAAGCCACGAACTTGTTGGGCAGTTTCAAATAAATCTTGCCTGACTTGGTTCATCTGCCGCTGAAGAATATCCAGTGTCTTGGCGGCTTCCTCTGCATTTAAGTGCTTGTCATCCTCCTTGCAAAGAGAAAAAGAACCTTTATCCATAATAAAATAACATATACTGTACATGCATCTTATTCATATATATGTAAACAAATATATATATACACACACATCATACCCGAAGCTAGTGCAAAACACAGTTGTTCAATTTAAATCCCTGATAATTTTTGGTTGCAAGGAAAAGGAAATAACATCTAGGTCAGAAAGAGCCACAGAATCAGTAAAACTAGTAGATAAAATTGTTGGGCTAGTGAAAGGTTTTACAACCAAAGATACTATGTGACTACAGGACAATTGGTAGGTAGGAAAAAGGGAAAGATTGGTTGGTACAAAAAGCAGCAGCGAAAGGGGCTGCCCTGGAGAAACCAGAACAGTGTCCTAAGCCACAGAACAGTGTCCTAAGCCAAATCGTGCTCAAGCGATGTACAAGGATGGCAAAGTTAAGGCTCCCACACAGCTTGTTGAGAAACTGCCGAGTCACCCGCAGCTGACTCGGCACTAATAGACAGTGGCGTTGCAGCCGGGTCAAGGAAGCCAGGGGCAGGATAAGCAACGCTAACCGAGAGTCCCAAATGAGGCCCAAACAAGTTTGACCCTGGACTGGAATCAACTGGGACTTCCACCAGTTCACCAGGGATCCAAACCGGCGTGTTGGAAAAGGACCAGATCCCTGTCTAGCTGGCACATGAACCGGCTGGCAACCCACACCAGCCAGTTGTCTAGGTAGGCCAAAACCCAAACACTTAACAGAGGAAAATGGGCCACCATGACTCATATGATGCAGTGAAGGTGAGGTGATGTGATGTGATTATTTTCACCTCATCCCTGGGTATATATCTGGCAACGCAAATTTATAACCATTCGAATTCTGCCTATGATAATGTTGACAATAGTTAACACAATGTATCTCTTAGCATCAGACCCTAATAAAATTGTAAAATGCACTTTTGGAAAGATAGTATTCCAACTTTCTTCTCAAGTGCAGAAAAACATAAGAAAACTAGATAAGGTTCGTGCTAGAATTATGATCATGTCATAACATTAATAGTAATCTAGAACAAGCTATTCAAGTATTCTCTAGTTCTGACGAATAATTACAATTTTATGAGATTTGCTCAGTTATTATTTAAAGTCCTCAATATAAAAAATGCATTATTACACATTCAATAAAAGTTTTCTTTATAAATAATTAAAGTGATCTTCATATGAAAACACACACACAAATGCACCTTAATTTACCTCATCAGGAATCTCCTCCATGTTATTATCACTGTCATTGCCACTCTCATTTTCCTCCTCATCTTCTTCCTCCTCTTCATCTTTCAACTTATCATCCTCCTTGTCTTTCTTTTCACCCTTCTCCTGTTCACCTTGACAAGAGGAAATGGCAGACACACTGGACATGTTTGAGTCCTCGCCTCGATGCTCCATCATCGATCTCATCGCAGCATTGTATATTCTCTTTCTTGCTACGCTCATGCGAAGCCTGGAAATGGAAGTCTTTAAATATATGTTCATTGTCATGAAACTGAGACATTATGCAGCACACAAATGAGAAAGTTAAATTGGAATCCCCTATAATCAAAGTTTTTCTTTATTTTACACTTTCTTTATGTATAAATGTACTCTGCACATAAAGTTATATTTAGGTAATTAGACAGTAGCATAATCTTCCAATTATTAACACTCAAGAACGGTTTGACATTACTTACTTTCTTATACGGGCATCCAATTTCCATTTTTCGGTTTTCAGTCCATTGTGCCTGTCCAAAGAGTCCTCAATTTGGCGCACAACAGCTTTGTTCTGGAGCAGCTCATTGCAGACATATGCCACGATCTCGCTCTTTTGCGTAGGATTCAGGGCCAGGAAAGGCAGCTGCAAGAGCCACTGAGACATCTTGTACGCATCCATCTCCGCTAACTTAGAGTCCCAATCCTGCCCCTTCTTGGGATTCTCCCGACGTTCCTTTTCTGTTCCTAACAAACCGTGAATAACGCGAACCTGTGGATTTTTTCCCTTTTATTAAGCCACAATATCACTATAGGTAAATAAATATTAACAGAATACCGATACTGACCATGGACTCGGGATGGTCCTGCAGCATCCAACCACTAACTCCGACTAATTCAAATTTTGTAGTGACAAATAAAGCTTTGGTTCTACTTGAACAGTAAAATATAACCAAGTACTTAATGACACAGGTATATGTTTTTTTTATAGTTTTTAAATTTTACCATTCAATGCTGCAGACAATTTTAAATTTAAAAATCATCAAAAAGAACTCTATCACATAAACTTGGTTTCTTTTTGCCAGCTTCAAAATATTACATCTACTCGTTAAAATATTTTCTGGAATTTTAACTACATGTTAAGGAGACTGACAGCTGAAGGATTGCTACTACTGTACTTCAATTATAATTACGTACATTACATTTGGTGTATTTACACTTCCATTACAGCATTGCATGCCCATACACTGTTGCTGTAATGTAAGTGGGTGGAATCCTATTTATTCTTAACAGTAACATTTGAAAACTCCCAATTTTTTTACTAAACTTTATTTACCAAATTGAAACGATATGATGAACCTTTAGCCTAAAAGTTTTAGGAGTTTTACTCCAAAAAGAAACTAAGAAAAAAGTAAAACTACAAAATAACGGTAACCTTTCAAATAAACAGCGTTGAATGTAATGAAACGCCACTTTCTGGGCGAGTCCCGGAGGCTTCCTGGAGCGATCCATGGCTGATATGGATACCCTAACTATTTTGCATCAGTCGATGTGGGTGGAGTTCTAGGCCTACCGGGTACCACAAGCCAGAACCTGGCCCCCTCAGAGGCACGAGGAGCAATGGCCCATAGAATGCACATTTGATTTGGAGCATTCTATATCTGCCATCGACCGGGACAGGCACCCAGAAAGGTAAGCGCCACAAAACAAATCCCTATTCTAGTTAACAACGAAAATCATCAAATGAATCATCATCTCTTCACAACGACCCATCAGTCACTGATATCTTCCTCCATGTGAGAGTTCTGGATGTATTGAGAATTGCCAGCGAATATAACAAATATATTCATAATGACAATTCTGGCATCAAAGTGTTGTCACATTGGTTTAGTATCTCTAGATATGTTTTATTCTATCTTGAATTTTTTCAATATCTTTTTTTTTTTTGCCACACTACACACAGAAATCACAATAGCGTGATGCAACAAATAAATAAATCCACAAGGGTCGTGATGAGGGTTCGAACCTACATCCAAGAGGATCCCAGACACGTCTTAATTGACTGTGCCACAACACGGTTAAAAGAATTGCAACCGGGAGCGCTACTGCCCTCGCACGGATTCTGCAGTCTCTCCAAGGCAAAAACCAGGCTTTTACACAATTCCCCTATGCATCCGGGCTCTGTCAACGGGTGCATTGGGGAATTGTGTAAAACCCTGGTTTGTCTCCCAGAGACTGCAGAATCTGTGTGAGGTCAGTAGAACTCCCGGCTGCTGCAATTCTTTTAACTATGTCGTGGCACAGTCGATTTTTTTTGGCCAATTTTGGTGCTTTGGGTCCCTTCAACTATTCAAATCACTATCTGCAAATACCTCTCCTATGCTCGAATTGCAATTTCATGTTTTACTTTTCTTTTTCTTTTTTTTTAGGCACCGAGGTTATCTTGAGGTTATCTTGAGATGATTTCGGGGCTTTTTTTAGTGTCCCCACGGCCCGGTCCTTGACCAGGCCTCCACCCCTAGGCAGCAGCCCGTGACAGCTGACTAACACCCAGGTACCTATTTTACTGCTAGGTAACAGGGGCATAGGGTGAAAGAAACTTTGCCCATTGTTTCTCGCCGCGCCTGGGATCGAACCCGAGACCACAGGATCACAAGTCCAGCGTGCTGTCCGCTCGGCCGACAGGCTCCCCCCGAGTGATGAACTTTTTACACTATCGCTCGCTTTGTACACAGATCACGTCCATTTTTTTTCTCCAGAGTCCTAGCCGTGGACAGGACATGCGTCCACTTCAAAACTATTTGTATAAAATAAAAAAAATTTCAGATTGACCTCGGGATAGTTTCAAAATAAGCGCCTTTAAAATGCGCACAATTTGATACCAAAATGAAAGATGTAACACGTAACTTGATGTCAGAACACTTGAAAGATTATAAATACGTTTTTGGGTCTAAATTTTAAATTTTAAAATACTGTATTTGTTAAAATTCTATTTATTGTGCTATTATTATGGGACTAGTTTTAAAATGCGCACCTTTATAATGTGAACAATTTGATACCAAAACAAGCGATGTAACATGAAATTTTATGTCAGAACACTGGAAATATATAAATAATTTTGATGATGAGCACCCAAAATTAAAATATTTGTTAAAATTCCAGTTATTGCTCTATTATTATGGGACTAGTTTTAAAATGCACGCCTTTATTTTGCGAACAATTTTATACCAAAACGAGCGATGTAACATGAAAATTGATGTTATCAAACTGAACGAGTACACACATTAGGTTGTGGTGCGCAAATTGGAGCTCGTTCACGGGTAACTTTAGGCTTTGCTGGGGGGAGTCTCGCCAGGCTTTTGGACATTATATGCATATACATCTGCAGGGAATTTAATTGCGAACACAATGATACCAAAACGAACGACGTAGCACAAGAATTAAGGTGAGAAAACTGAAACGAGTATACACATTTAGGCGTCGCCGCACGCTCGCCCGCACTATTGGCCCCATGACGTCAAAGTCTGAGGTGCGCGCGTGGCGCCGGCGATAGTGTGAATTAGTTGTGCCCTTTAAGAGTTAAGATAAGGTACCTTAATCAAATAAAGTATTACTATCAACTAGAGAAAACGTATCAGACTTACCTCCCCTGTGGCATTAGCATTTAGGTAGACCCGTAAAATTTCAGAAATGTTGGCATGCGTTATATCTGCTCTATTTAGAGTCTGGCCTAATATCGTGGTGTGTCTTTGAGGAGAAGGAATCCCAGGATCTTCAATGGCACAAACAAGCAGGTGAGAGAGAACACTTAGAAGTTCCTCCTCACTCTCACTATCATTTAAGAGGGCCATCTGCAGGCTCTGCATGGAGGGTAATGATTCCATATCTGCAAAGAAATAACAAATGGAATAAAAATTAAAATAACAAATATCAAGTTTCTACAATCAATTTAGTTTTAGGTTAAATACATCAACATGTGAAATTCTTTGGTAAGTACTTTAAAGTGTTCTTTTAAATGTTTTAGGTCATGTTTTATAAAACCCTGAAGGGTAAAACTTACCATGAGTTACAGGAAGAGAAACTTCTAAGCCAACTAACAAATCAGAAACCACCTACTACTGTGCCCACCTACGTAAACAAAAATCCCGTATATGAGCAGATTTATCCTAGTTCAACAAAATAAATCTCTCACTACTTACCAAATCCTAAAGTTTCCCCAAAGTTGTGCAGGAACTCAAACACCATTAGAATGTTTCCAAAAGCCTCAGGAGGAAGCCGAAGACCATCCAAACGATGGGCGTCTGGCAGTGTAACGTGATCGGTAAGCTCCATGTCTTCCTTCACTTCCTTCATCAGCTGATTAAGCTCTCGCGCTTGAAGGCGCTCCTCTCGCTTTCTGTCACAAATACAGTAAGTACCGAGATATTACTGGGAAGCAAGAGTGTGAGACAAAGACAAAATGTGTATGTTACTACCATTTGAAGTTAGAGAAAAAGAGATATGCTTGCATGGTTTCATCTTCCTGGTGAACTGTAGTTTCTTTACACTTCTGGTGGTTTTAGTACACACCAACTTACCCTTGGAAATTATTCTAACTATCCACACTTCAAGTGGTACAAAATTATTATCTGTCATCCTTTCCAAACCTACTTTATTTGGTAACTGTGCCCTCTTATTCAGCTTATTTCTAAGTCCTCAAAACTCTTCCCCATTTGATTTCATGTATACCTTCATAAGGTTACATGTATTAAGTTTTACAGCTGGTTGCTCAGTAATTCAAATTTTATGTAGTGAATTTTGAATTCTCCAGTAATGAGAGCTAGGGGGGTCATTTACCTGTATGGTTTAATTTCAACAACACTGTTCCTTATGCTTTTAACAGGTTGTAATGCCTTCCCAGTGTTGATTATCAAAATTGCGACTACCCAGCTGGTAAATCTGAGCAAGCTGGGTGGTAGTGCATTGAAGTGTGATGTGAAATGGCAGTTTGTGTAGCACTTCAGTAACTTTCTAGGGGCTTAAAACACCAGGAACAACCCCAAATTTAGGGTCTTGAGATTACCTAAACCTTTACCTCCTGGGGTTACCAGGAGGTAAAAGCTGATATATAGCTTCTTGAGAAAGTAATGCCAATACCCATCTTTGAAGTCTAGGTACACCAGCCATGTTCCAAATAACTCTGGGTTGGGGTATTGTGACCAAAGCTCACCATGCTACCCCCGGGTCAGTGGTCATGTCTGTTGCTTTGGGCGCACAGTACGGTGTGAGAGTACACAGATGTTCGGGAGGCATTACGAAGGCTTCAGCTCCCCCACGGCTCTGTGAACCAGCTCCACTTCGACTGCTTCACGGTCGTTTACTGCCTGAACCGGGTGGAAGGGAAGTTGTCTCTTTGGTTCTAGTCTCTATGGTACTAGACTCTGCGAGTGGCTTGTTTTCCAGATTCTTAAGATTTAGCTCTCTGCACAGTCCATGTGGGGAGCATTTCCAATGTCCTCATGGATGGTCTGTCTCAGTTCCATCCCATCTCCACAGAATGAACCACTGACGACAAGTCAACTCTGAGAATGGCTCTGCGAGACATTCGGTCACCCCAAGAAGGATCCCTTCATGTCGGCTTTGTACTGGTGCCTTCCATCTTACATTCCCCGACAGTTAGGCTCACATGGAAGATACTTTTCGGCTGGAATGGTTGAGGTGCGGGTGCATTTTTCCCTTTTCCACCATTCAGTTCTTGCTCAGAGTTCTTTCCACACCGGAGTCGTTCTTAAGAAGGGCGAGCCTTTTTGGCTCCTTGGTGGACAGTTCAGCCATCGTGTCTGGCTCTTTTAGCCCCCAGTATCCAAACCCAAGCATTTTTCTGCAGCTCTGCCTCTTTCAGATAATCAGGCCAGCAATGTTTCTAGCTGGTTCAACCTTCTCATTATCTCTTCTCATCTGGACTTTCTGACACAGGTTTGTCATTTTTATGGCCTGCAGGTGGCTGGATTATTAGTTTCTCACTTGTGTCTTTCAGACAGCAGTATGAAGAAGCTTAGTGCTCTTTTCACCTTTCTTTAATTTCGGTTCATGAAGTATCATCTTTTCTTCCATGGTTATTTTCGATCGACATCTCATGCCCAATACTGTCGTCTCTTATCGTGCAGCACTGGTGGAGCTGCTACTGTTGGTCTGCAATGTTGATTCTTCTGCTGCTCCATTCTGTAAGTAATCGAGCTTTTCTTCGCCCTCAGGCCAGCTCGACATTGCTCTGGGTCCCTGGACAAGGTTCTGGAATTTTTCATCCCCCCTAGTTTCACGACTGCATCTTCAGTCGGGGATTCCTTAAGGCGTTTTTTTTCCCCAGGCTCTTGCTTCGGGCTACTGGGTTAGTGAACTTCGTGCTCTTCTCCAGAGGCGGGGGTTCTGCTCTTTTGGCCCTGATGGGAGTTTTCTTCATTTGCAACTGTCCCCTTCTTTTCTGGTTATTGATGCTTGGTTGATTCAACCAGGGTGCATCATTTCTCGTGTCCAGTGGCAGCGGTTCATCACTACCTGCGAGCCACTGCCTCAGCCTCAGTGGACGCTCTTTGGATTGATCCAGTTTCCTTGATCCCCTGTTCCAAGGCTCGTGTTTCTCAGGTTGTCCAGTGCCATCAAGGCTAGCCAGCCTGCAGTCTATCTCCCAGGTCAATATGTTTGCAAATACTGTATGTTGAACTTGTGGTGGTCTTCACTAATATGTTTTTAGAGGATATTTGGGCTCAGGAAATTTGGCAGACTAAATACCTGGCTACCATGACCCTGTTAGTCAGTACAGGTATTCCTGGGTTCTCTTTGGACCTATGTTGCCCTGGGTTGTATTTCCCAGTAGTTGGTCTCTCTACCAACTATAAAAGACCTGCTGGCAGTTCTGGTGCCTGCTGACTTTCCTCCTCCCTGGTAAGACCCTCTATTTTTCTCTGTAGGTACAGTATTTAGCTACAGGGAGCCACCAAGGGGCTGCCGGGAAAATCCTCTTTCTGGTACGGCCCAGGTTGCTCTTTGTCTGCCTCCCTCCCTCTCTCCCATGTTCACTGGTTCGTGGTAATGTTTATCTGCTTCTGAACTGGTGTGAGAACGCTGATCTGTGTGCTGGGGAGTCTGGTGGCAGCATTCCGTACTTTAGGATTTTAGCTAGCTTTGTATCTTTTTATTTTGTTTGCAGAGTTATTTGACTTTTTTAGTTGTTTTGAGTCTTGGGAACCCATTTGTTCGTAAAGCTCCACTGACTTTCCGAGTGCTTTCTTGGTGAAATGGCAGAATGTCATTTGCTCCCTGCATCTCATGTAAAGGGGCCAGGTTATGGCTCTGGTCCCTGGTAAGCCAAATGAACTCCTGCAAGTGATATGATTGGTAATTTGGAGCAATCTCAGTCAGATAGCTACAGGGAGCCACCAGGTCTCTACCAGAAAAAGGCATTTCATTATATTCAATGCTAGATTTTTTTATTATTTTTCCCATGATCAAGGAATGCATTTTAATAAAATTAGAAAATAATTTAGATTTTTATTTTATTTTATGTGCACCTGGGTATAAACAGGGGCATAACCCAGGGGTTAATATGCCCCTTAATATTAAAAGTTCATAAATAGTTTATGTACTGTAGTTGTCATTATAGACTAGAGACCTCTGGCAACCTTTTGCCATACAGTATTAGGAAAAAATCCTGAAAGCCTTAGCTACTTCCTGGGGCATTATGAAAAAACTGGCATCATTTCAGATGCACTTCAATTCATTTGCTCACACCTGTGCTCAGAAACACTGATGCTATGCAAAATTTCCAGAGCTTTTATCGGCCAGGAAGACATTTATTATGAGAAACATTCCATTACAAATAGTTTACTTGAAAAATTTATTTCCAGAATACAATGTCATCAGTATTGCTTCACCTCAGTACCACCAAATTAAATTAATCAGAATTTTTAACATATTTCCCGACATCAGAAATGGTGTCGGGGAAATACGATATAAAAAGGTGAAAGAATTTTTCTTTTTTTTAACGCGTACCTAGAAAGAGACCTAAAAAAAGTATACAGTTTGAGGGTTAACAAAGAGAGAACAGCCTGTCACACATGCCATTCACAAAATGCTGCAAGGACAGCAAGCAAGAACAAGGACATACCTTTCCCTGGTTGCCCTCTTCTCTTCTTTCATCTCTTCTCTTCGTCTTTCTCTCTCTTCGTATCTCTTCCGTGATTCCAGGGCTCGCACCAGTACCCCATGATATCTTCGTCTCTCCCGCTCCTAGCAACCAAAGCACAGGTGGAAATTGTCATCAACAAGAAAGGGTTTGTGAAGTAAAAACACAACTAAAACTGGCTCACATTACAGGCTAAAAGCCTAGATGGTTTATTCCGACACCAACAGCCCCAGTTTATAAGAATGGTACACAATTTGGTTCAAAGATTTTCTCACCAGAAAACTGAGCCTTGTTGGAGTATTATCCCTGTGTTTGCTCAAGATAATGTGCATTATTGATCAAATATTCCATCCATACTAGGTATCTTATTTAATCAAATTGATTTTTTTTATCAAGTACATTTAAAATGTCAAATCAAATTAATTTAATAAATTGATCCATGATTTAGAAAGAAAGCTTATACTTTGCACAGGATAAAATATTAAATATACGAGTGAACTATTATGATCAGGAAAAACAAAACATTTAAGTGTTTAATGTAATGAAATGCACTTCCCCAGTGGTCCTCCAGTAGCTCCTTTAGCTTATCTCTGGTACAGTACCATCAAGCTTTCATCCAATACACCAGGCCTCTAAGACCCATCTATTGTCTACAGGAAATCGGGACCAGAATCTGGCTTTCACTACAAGGCACCAGAGACCCAGAGATCAACTCCAGAGAAAAACATACCAGAAAAAGAGCAGCAGCAGGGTCAGATACGCTCAGAAAAATGGAGAACCTCCACTAAGCAGGTGCATGCCCTTTGGTCTGCTGCCCCCAACATGAAAGGCCACCAAAAAGCCTGGACATGCAGCCACCAAACAGGGCACTCTTACAGACACGAACAAAGGATCACCAAGAAACATCGGAAAACTTGAACAGCTACCCCTAGTCAAGATCCTGCAGACAAAAATAAAGCCTTCATCTGTCCAAACAAAACAAAACGATGTATGCCACCCCAGGAAATACTTAACACTCACAATACAGCCAGAAAGTGGAAGAGGAAGGAAGGCATATACTGTATTTCAGATGTACAATCCCAGTCTTGTTGCAGGTACTGAAACAAGTCCTGCTGAGTCACACTAAGGAAGGTTAGATAATGGGAACCAGCACAGGGGGAGGTAAATGAAGCCATGAAAAAGGACCTGGAAATGAACCGGCAGAAGACCAGAGAAGGTTTCTAACTCATACTGGGATAGGGATACAAGAACACCCAAAATGGAGCAATAACCCTTCAAGCAAGGAACTAAACACCAAAGTGGGTCAAAAAGACCACCACAGAACTCCGCCTCTGGTAATCCAAATGTCTCGTGGCCAGGGAGGGAGCCTACAGCACCTTTGGAGCCTGGAGTCTCAAAAAAGGAACAAAAGAATAAACCAGGGAAGTCCCAGTAACCCTTAAAAGCCAAAATCGTAAGTAGGGAAATCAAGCAGGGAAATGCAGGTCTCCTAGTTTTTATCGCATCTCTAGAGGGGACAGCCCCCAATGCCACCTCTGCCAGCCTCACAGCTGGTAGGAAAAACTACCCAACCTCAAGCTGAACTTGGGAAAGCCAACACCACTAAGCTGAAATAGAGAAGCCAATGTACACCAGGTAGAAGAGGGGAAAAAAATCATGTGGAAATCTCAGGTGACCTGGGCTGCCATCTGGTGGTGGTCAAGCACATCAGTCTGGGTATTTACCCAGTGGCAACAATCGTTTACCTTAGTGTACCTCGTGGTGCCCAATTTACTTCAAGCCGTTGCTTGTTGTGTTACAACTGTGCACCTCTTTGTGGTTCTTCCCCAGTTTTGAGGTGGATCCCTGATCACCAGCTCCTTGTGCCTCAGAGCCAGACATATTCTGATCCAGACTCCCAGCAGGTAACAGACTAGTCTCAAGAGGCCTGGGAAGTTGAGCTAAGGCTTGGTAGTACCAAAGATAAGCTTGTTAGCTGTTGAGGGATCCTTGCCAGAAGAAACAACCTAACAACATTAATAATTAAATACTACATAAAAGGCATGTGAATCCTATAAACCTTAAGAGAAAAGTGAAAATTATAAAGTTAATTTACCCAACCAAAATATATTATGGCTTCAAATGGCAAGCTCCTATACCATGACATTGCTAAGCAGTTAACCTCAAAACAAAAATTATAAATGTAGTTTGATATATACATGTACAAGAAAAGGCCCCTTAATTATCCCAATATTTAGCTGGTTAACCTGATGCAGTTAGTGAGCTTGACTGAAGAAATACAATGACCAAAACAAAGTATGCAAAATATGTACAGTATGTGTATCTAACTATGAAAGAGTGACACAATTTATATATAATTATCTTATGGCAAATACAAAAATACTAGTACTTTACCTGTCAATTTTTTTTTCTATATACTACACAACTTATTTAAATTAGGAAAGTTGAAGAGAAAAATGGGGATTGGCTTGCAAAAACAATGTTAATAAGCAGAGGAAGGATTTCATAGCAACTTTTTAACATAAGTAGCATTTGAAACAATTAGGTTTAGCAGCATATTATCACCATCATTCAACAAAGCTTACATATCGAGATCTCTGATGTTGGTTAATACATAGCATCACCTAAAGTGCAAAGTACTCTTAAATCTGAAAATCTCAAGTGTCTAATATGAAATTTGGCAATTGTCAAATGTCTAATATGAGTAATTCAAAGTGTCATACTTTGAATAAGCAGATGAGCGAGTGAGAAAACGGTTAAAAGTCAATGTGGACAAAAGTAAAGTTATAGTTGTGGAGATGAAAAATGTGTATGAAATATATGCAAATGTGGAAATGTTGGAAGTGGTTGATCCCTTTAAATACCTGGGATGTACACGTCCTAAAATAGATGTGTGTGCAATTGAGAGTAGGAGTTGACATGGAAGGGAAGTGGCTACCAAAAGTAAAACTTTGGTTAGGATAAACCCAAAAGGAACAGACGCAGCCAGAGGTCTACATGGACAACCCATCCTTCTGCTTAGATAGTACTAATTGTAACCATGTGCACCACCGTACACACGGACATAATGAACAGTTAGATAGTAGAATTTGGTACTATTCACTTTATAGAGTAATAAAAAAATAAAAGAAAAAAGCTAAAAACTAAACTTAAATATTCCTAGACCCAGTGCAGCACTGGCGGCCTTATTGAGGACAGAGCTGTGGGGACAATGGGCCTCAATCATCACAAGGTACCCTCAAGGTAAGCACAGATATGTACTATATTAGACCTCAGGTAGCGTATATTAGGCCAAGGAAGGTTAGGTCAAGTCTGCTTTGCAACATCAATACAAAAACTTTTTTGGTTTGTCCAGATCCAATAGTAATAACTCTACTTTCTGACTGCCTTTTACATCAATATATGTATGCTGGACCTCATCGTTACTGTAACTACTACCTAAACATGAGGATAGGCTGGCATGGAAGACTGGTGGATACCAACTTTATGTTTGGTTGTGAATGATAATGTGGCTTGAATATGAAAAATAAAGAGTTATAGCAGTAGAAATGAACCATCTTTGAAGCTTGTGTGGTCTTAGAATGGATAATAATGTACACGAAAATAAAAATATCAAGAGATGTTGCATGCAAAAGTAAACAGCAAGATTGAGGTGAGCATATTAGATGATTTGGGAACACTGAATGAATGGATGGTATACTGGTGAAGAAATTGTATTAAAGTGAATTTCAGAGTAGATGGAAAAAAAGGAAAGCCGAGAAGAAGGCTTGAAGATTTGTGCACAAGACACAGGATATGGTAAGAGACAAAACTGGATGGAAGTGGTTTGTAAGAGTGAGTATATTTGTATGTAATGAAGTTACAATTTGTGAGGTGCACAGCACACCTGGAAGAAGAAGAAGAAGTGAACTGCTGCCAAGGATGACTGCTGGAATGTGGTAGTGCTTGATTACCACAATTATATGTTAACATTGTCAATGATACAATGAATGGATGAGAAATATTTGTAATGTTCTATTCTATATTTATATATATAAAACCTTCTTTTACTATACTACTTACCTTTCTTCCTCCAACTGATGCATTCTCAAAGCAAGAAAGTGAGAAATGCAGTAATAATAATGTACAGTATGTATGTATGTAATGTGTAGCTGTAGATGAGAGTTAAGCTGCTGGTGTCTCATCTTCTCTTATCTTTGTCATATGACATTTTGAAACTTTCTTTCATTTTAGAATCCTGTACACTACCCCCTTCATATTTAATTTATACAGCCACCTACCACACTGCTTGCAAAAGAGAATTTACATATATTTTTTTGGCAGGTTTGTTTTCTAGGCTTCACCACGGCCTCATCTCAATGCTGCATATTTAAAAAATTTATAACATAATTATGTCGATGCATATCACAATTTTGTATGTGATATCACATGATCATTTTCCTGTCAACTAGTTTTGGGCACATTTTTGTCAACAGCCTCAACACACAGCTCTTGAGTATTAGATCCAAGTCATTTTGTAAGAAGTCCTTGCATCTCTAATTTATTTATATGCGTTTTGATATCTGGGCATCCTACAAGTGCTGCATATTTTAACTGGCTTAGCACATGTGCTGTGACTTTTCTTCATGCATTCCCCATTCATGAATTAAATGAAATTCTGTAACTGGTCAAAGTAGTGTAGGTGCGGCTAAAAATGCCCATGACTTTTCTCCGTCACACTTAATTGTGCAGTACCACAAAAGTCTCTGGTGGTACAGTGGTAACACATTTATGCTGTGTTACCATTGCTTTTGCCACAATGTCATTCTGAGCCATTGCCCCCCCCCCCTCCTGCCCTAATGATTCTTGTGTACTCATTCCTGGCCCTTTTTAGTGCCTTCCTATTTGCCTTTGGACCTATGTCCCTATGCTTTTTCCATACCTTTTCTGTCTTCTCCTTTTCTTCATTCATATGTAAACCTTAACCTTTGACAAGTAAATTTATTCTTTCTTCTTGACCCTAGTGCCAACACTGTATTGGATAAGGATGGAAAGGGGGCAAGAGAACTTGCACAAATTTCTGTTAATTTTCCTATAGTTACCGATTGTAAACAATTATAAACTC